CACATATACATATATATATATAACATGTAATATATATATATATATGTATGTATGTCTGTATGTACGTATGTATGTATGTATGTATGTATGTATATATATATATAGATGTACACACATGATGTAGAGTGGTTTACAACAATTGTTTTCAAAGACTACACACACAAATCGCGCAATCTCAATCACCCAAATCAATCAGATCAATCAAGCCAACCAATCAACCAACCGATTAACCAACCGATGAGCCATCCAATCAACTAACCAATTAGCCAACGAAATAACCAACCAAATAACCAACCAAGCAACCAAACAAGCCAACCACAGCAATGGGCGATGTAAGAGACCTTCCACGCCCGGAGGGCCCTTGCGCCTCGTCTTTGAACATTTGGTCCAAGACGTTGGCCTTTGAAGGAAGGCTGAGGGGAGAGAGGAGCAGAGCGAGTGAGGAGAGGGGCCGCGGCAATGGGCCGGGCGACCGGGAAGAAGAGGACCTGGGCCAGGCGGAGAAGCAGCGGAGCGGAAAGCGGCTGCGGAAAGAAGAGAAGCGGCGCCCCCGGCTCCGGCGCGCGCCTGCAAGACCTGGACCAAGGGCACCAGCGCCGATGCGATGGCAAACTGGTTCGGGCCGGTGAAGACCTCGACTCTGCGCGCTCCAGAAAAGGCCGCTCGGTCGCCACTCTGAGGATGCAAACTGCCGAAGGCAGGATCTCGCCACAAATAAGGACAACCTCTGTGGACAAGAGGGATCTTTCCGAAAGGATGAAAGGACAGATTTTGCGTCTCTGAGGCCACGGACGCTCACCGACAGCAAGACCGCAGCCCAGGAAGGCAGGAGCCTCACGGCAAGATACGGCAAGGACGTGCAGACCTTTGCAGATTTTGACTTCCGTTGTGGGTTAAGAGACCTGTCCAAGAAGACCGGCAGAGCCTCGCAGACACAGACCGAACCCATGCAGCTCGGTTTTCGGAGAGCACGGGGACCTCGTTGGCCACGGTGTTGAAGAGGAGCAACGTGACCAGAAGCAGGTGGTGCTCACGGACCTGACACGGACCAAAGCATCTCCGCGGGCTTTGCATGGGTCAAAGAGCAAGCGCAGTCTCTCCCTCCCTCTCTCTCTATCTCTCTCAACCCATCGCAGCTTGCACCATCCCTGACTCTGCCAGAGGCCCAGTCCAGGGGAAGGATGCGCACGGCGTAGTCCTGGCTTTGACGATGCTTTCCAGGAGGAGAAGAGCGGTTTCGGATTTCAGGACCAACTAGACTACAATGTCCGGTGTTCATGCTATCCTGTTTTCCATGAACTTTGCCCTCGCAGGTTGGCGAAAGACACATCCTGTTTATATTCCTAGGAAGCCGAGGGCCAACAAGGTGTTGTCGGCTCTCGTAAGTGGTATCCACCCGGAGGCGACATCCAAGTTTGGGGTGGGAGTCCGCCCTTTGGGGCTTGGAGATGCTTGGAGGGTTTAGGGCTTGATGAGACAGCCGGGGAGGGTTTGTACCATCCCTGCTGTGCGTCTGTCACCGAATCTGGGTCTTGACCATCAAGAAGTCTACCATCTCAGGGGCTTAGGGCCTTTCGGGGCTTAGTGGCTCACGCGCCCAGCCGGCAGCTAATTGCATCGTGCTCTGGAAATGCCAGGCTTGGAGAGGACATGCGTGGAAAAAAGCAAAGCGCCCAACAAGAGCTGCATTGGAGCAAATTCCAGTGGTCTGCTGTAGAATGGACGCGGTAAATCCTCCTGCAGGCAGATGAGCCGTCCGGCAAATATCCCAGATGTCGTTGTGTTCCAGCCGGTTGCAGAAGGGTATCGCTAGCTCGTTGCTACTGCTTAGACGAGCTCGAAGTCTCCGGCTGCTCGGATCCGGTTGTGTGAAAGCTGGAGCTCTTTGTGCCGCCGCATATCCTTTGGGCTAGAAGCCCTGCACTGTGGCAGCTGAGACGAGGGGATTAAAATTTGGCCGTTCCCGTGACGAAGGATGCTTGCGGCGTCGTCCAAGTGGTTCTGAGGGAACGTCTCCTGAAGACGATGTCGTCACTGGCAAGAGCCTCGAAGGGCCTGGCAGGGCTTCGGGAACCTGCAAGAGGGCACGCTTCGGGGCCCATCTGGCCACTGCCTCTCGGCATCCGGAACTCCGGCACCAGCTGATGCGGGATATGCACCACAGGAGCCTCTCGTGCCCCGCTTTCTGCTGTAAACGGTTGTGCTCTTTGTAGTCTTCTGTCGTGATCGAGATCTTGCGGGCACTTGGCAGACACAGGTTCTGCTTGGCTCCGACATGAGTAAAGTATGGCAGTAGTGGCCTGCTGACATCAGGATCAATGCCACCAGTCCTCTCAGAACTGCCTTTTCAAGATGCATTCTGCTGCAGCTCTGCCTCCGTCCATGTGTGCTTGTGCATGTCTGTCGTGTGAACTTGTATGCTTCTGCTCGCCGCAGTCTCCGAACGTGTACGTGCACAGGCATCTATCCAATCCTATGTGTGTGTGTGTGATGCGTACTTAGACGAATCCATTGAATTGAAATTGCAGGTGCAGGAGCGACTTTATATCACATCGGATCGCAGCTCTCTCGACTGGCTGCTGCCTCCCCCCAAAAAAGGGGTGCTCCTCTCATCCACAAGGCCACGATCACCTAAAAAGCCGAGGCCCTCCCCACTTCCCCTCCCCGGGCCTGCTCGCTCTTGAGCTTGGCCCGCTCCTCCGGGGACGTGCAGTCCTGCAGTACGTGGACTCCAATAAATACATACACACAGCGACACACAGGCACACTGTATGTATGTATGTATGTATGTATGTATGTATGTATGTATAACTACCGGTTTTGTGACACAGTTTTGGGTGGATTTGTGAGTGTCTGATAACAGCAAAGTCATCGGTTTTTACGGTGGTTTCTATGTGTTTTACATATCGAAGAAAGACGGAGGTGGATCATGGGGGGTGGCCATATGTATCTATCCATATCCATATCCATATCCATATCCATATCCATATCCATATCCATATCCATATCCATGTCGATGTCTATGTCTATGTC